CCCGAACTATGTCCCACCCACCCCAATTGAACCTCTAAAAACAAGTTTGATAGTGTAAGGTACTATGGTAAACTTAGATTTAAACTTAGATTTATTTTATTTTATTTTTTAGATTTATTCAAATAAATCTAAGTTTAAATCGGTGTGAGTTGTATGGATTTTTTTGCAAAATTTATGGATTTTTGAGTCTTTTTATCCAGGCAAACATCCAAAGAGGTTGACATGTTTGGGACAACAAAATACAGACTGGTTGTTAGTGAGTTTGTCAACACGAACCACTACCTGAGAGGCACTACTAGCCCCTCCCCCATCAGAGTGTCGTAGCAGGATGAGTCAAAGCAACGTCAATCAAATAAGAGAGAGGGTGGGGGCGTTTGCTGCATGGGGGGAGGGGATGTTTTATGGGTAGAGTAGTTTATTTTTCCTGTAATACTCCATTATAGTTTTTTAAGACAAAGCTAATTGAAAGGGGCGCTGAGCAGAGTTACAACCAGGGATTATAAATAAATACTTTTTTCTTCTGCAGTTCGGTGTCTCTCCAGCAGATGGCACTCTAGGAGACCGCCTAGTTCGCCTATGCCAAGAGCCGGCTCTGCACAGAAGGAACTAGAGATGGTTGTTCACGCTTTTACTTCTTCTCATTTAAATTACTCTAACGGTCTTTTTACATGTTTAAACAAATCCTCGTTGACTCAGCTTCAGTCTGTGCAGAACGCTGCAGCGAGGTTATTAACAAAGACCCACAGGAGAGCCCACATTACACCTGGTTTAGCCTCTCTGCGCTGGCTGCCTGCGCAGTTGAGGAGTCATTTTAAAATTTTAGTTTTAACTTTCAGAGCACTTCATGGTCAGGCCCCCAAATACGTACTGGACCTTCTGAAGCCTCTCTGTCCATCCAGGACTTTGAGGTCTTCTAATCAAATGCTGCTGGTGGTCCCTCGAACCCATTATAAAACCAGTGGAGACAAAGGTTTTCAGGTGGTGGCCCCGAGGCTCTGGAACGCTCTCCCACTGTCCCCGCTGCTCAGATTCTACTGACTCTTTTAAGAAACATCTTAAGACATTTTTATTCAGACAGGCTTTAATGTGCTTTTTACTGTGCTTTAATTGTTGTTTTCCAGTGTGCATTGCCAGTGCAATGCACACTATTGTGATTCGTTTCTCATCCAAGTCATCTCCACTTTGCCATGCTTCTCCTCCTGCATACTTTGTCCTAGAGCTGCCATTGTAATTTATATCTGTAAAGCTCCTGTGCCAAATGATGGCTATGACTTTTGGTGCCTGTACAACTTATAGTTTTTTTAAATATTAATGTTTAATAATTTATAATGGGAGTCAATAGAACCTTGTATTGGTCCAATGCTGCCCCCTGCTGTATCTGCTCAATACTGAACCATAGTTTAATATTTAATCTCAATAGTTCAGTGTTTACAATACTAACATGATTGTATTTTGATGTTTTACTATAATACTGTCCAAATATTGCTTTATTGTTGTAATATTTTTCAAATTAGTGACAACCATTACATTGGCAATGTGGCCACTTTCTGCACACATACAAACCAAACCCTGGCCTCGTTCTTTACCACAGCTCTAATGGTCTCATGGTCAGTGCCATGGACTTTCATGTACGAGATCAGGGTTCAAAACACAGCAACAGAAACTTTAACAGAAAATTTCTACAAACTTCATATTGTCACACAATTAC